AACAATCATTCATCTGCATCCAGTTAACCAACCAGCCAACCAATCAAACATCAAATCATTCAACTAAACTAACCAACCAGCTTACAAATAACCAACAACTGAGATGATGTTTCAATTAATTAATCTCAACTTAACTAGCCAACAACTGAGATGATATTTTAATTAATCAACCAATCAATCAAATAACTAATCAAGCAATCAATCAGTGGACTATTGATTAATAAATAGATGTACATGTTTCGTGTTATTGTGCAAGTGGGCTGCCAGACGATGACGTGATTGCAAATCTGGGAACGAAGCAACAGCGCTGCTGACGTGAATATGACAACTATGAACGTTGTTAACACTCTGTGCCGCAACTACAACAACTACAACAACAACAACAACAACCTCAACAACAACAACAACAACATCCTCAACAAAAACATAATCAAAATAAAGAAGAAATTACATCAAACAATAACCAACAACTCGACACACGCTGTGATTGAATTCATAAATAATAAATCTATGCATTCAACGCTCTCTATTATTGTTATTGTAGTAGTAGTAGCAGTAATAGTAATGGTAGTAGGAGTAGTATTTGTTATAGCAATAGTAGTAATAGCAGCCATAGTAGCTGCAGTATCAGCATGCATTGAAGCAGCAGCAGTAGTAGTAGTAGTAGTAGTAGTAGTAGAAGTAGTAGTAGTAGTAGTAGTAGTAGTAGTAGTAGTAGTAGTAACATTTTTTTTTATTTATTTAAAAGACAACCAAAAAAGATAAACTTGTGGATAGGCCACCCTTAACTAAGAATTCCAACTGTAAATATAACAGAAATGTCAAATAAATACATACACACAAATTCTTACTATAAATGTAACAGAAATGTCAAATAAATACATACACACAAACACATGTTCACACGTACATCATTCTATGAATACTGTCATGTTTCATATAGTACCTAAAGGTGACAGTATAGTCACAACTGAGACTGAAAAATTCGCTTACTAAGAACATCAAAATTAAAAATTAAATAAGTTGTAAAAAAAAGTAGTAGTAGTAGTAGTAGTAGTAGTAGTAGTAGTAGTAGTAGTAGTACAACAACTAGTTGTTGTTGTAGTAGTAGTAGTAATTGTTGTTGTAGTAGTAGTAGTAACGGCAGTAGTAACAGCAACGGCAGTTGTAGTATCAGAAACAGTAGCAGTAGCAGCAGCAGCAGCCGCAGTAGCAGCAGTAGTTGTAGAAAGAGCTCTATCAAAGAAAAGCAGTAGTAATAAAAGTAGAAGTAGAAGTAGTAGCAATCATTGTAGCAGTCAGGGTAAATCTAGACAACGGAGACAAAAAAATTGAAATTGGACGGGGAGCCAAAAATTGTCAAAATTATTGCTGCGGTGGCAAAAATGAAGCTAGCGGCGTTTTTGTTTTGCAAATTTTCGGTCAACTTTCTCAATTTTCTACTTGAAACTCAGTTTTTATGTGCAAGAACTGAGTTTTAATATGACAATCAATAGTGATCGCAACGGGAGAGGCCATGGCCTCCTGCCCATTCCCCTAATTCGCCCCTGGTAGCAGTAGTAGTAGAGCAGCAGCATACAATGGTAGTTGTATAATGATAATAACAAAAACATTAATAATTAAAAATTATTAATATTAATTATAATAAAAAAATAAATGGTAAAAAATTAAAATAATGAATAAGGATAGTTTTAATGTAAACAGATTGGGCCAGATCTTACAGGTGATAACGACGACGACGACGATGATGATTGTAATTATGATGTTAATAATAACAAAATGATGATGGTGGTGATGCTGCTGCTAATTATGATATTATTATTGTTATTATTATAATTGTTTTATCATTAGCATTATTTTGGAATAATTAAGATGGCGTATGTCATATTATTAACACGATGTTTATCAATTTTTAATTGGCTCAATTTTAAAGGAATAATTAACAACAACAACAATAATAATAATAATGATAATAATATAATAATAATAATAATTATGAAATATAGATGCGTGTACGTACGTGTGCGTGGTTATGTGAGTATGTAGGAAAGTATGTGTGCGTCTCTATGTCTTTGTGTGTGTGTCTTTTTGTACGTATGCATACATGTAGACATGAATGTGTTTATGTTAATGTGTGTACATATGCACGCATGCATGTGTATACATGTCTAAATTGCCTATATGTCTACATATTGTTAGGTTTCACACACACACACACACATACACACACATACACACACACACACACACATATATATATAGGGTGAGAATTTCAGTATGAGTACATAAAGCTCACCATCTCTCACCATGACCATTGCTGTGCATTAAAGTGCATTACTGTGAACATCTAACTCGTTTTAGACAAAACGCGTTTTGTCTCTCATAGAGCTCATCAGCTTAATGCATGCAATTAGTATTATCTCAGTAGACAGTGGTGCAAACTAAGGTGTTTTTATGTAAAGGAGAAATTCTACCAACAATTGATTGAATGCCATTTACAAATGAATCGTAAATTACATCAGGATCGCTGCCAGTGAACGGACCACTAATAGATGATTGCGAAACAAGATTGACAAACAGATTGTTATCAATTCGATTCCATGATCGTACCAATTGTTTCAAAACTGTTGGTTTTTTTTTATAAACAAACAGAAAACTTTAATGAAACTGTGATCGGAATTAGAATGACTTTGAAAATTTATACAATCAGTAGACGGCAAATCAAAAGAAGATGCAACTAGATCAAGTGTTCTATCAAACATATTTGATAGTTCACTGACACGATTAGAAACTTGGAACGATTCAAAAACGTCTAACAATTTAATAGTGTTTACCTCCTGCAATTTTTCAATATGAATGCTGAAGTCTCCAGCCAGTAACAAAATCTGTATGTACTGCACATATATGCTCCAAAACCAGAGTAAGCTCGCTAAAAAACAAAAATGTGGCAGAAACAGACTCAGGCCGATAAATCGACAACAAAGTAACTTTTGATTTATTTAAAACAAAACTAATAGCTATGACTTCAAACTTTGAATTAAAGGCATTTCTACTTTTTTCGCATTGAAAAAACATTTAAAAAAATTATGATGCCTCCATGATTAGAATCATTTGGTCTTATATAATAAAATGAGCTAAATTTGGTGGACTGGCCAGACGAACCATGTCCGCACCCAACGAAATCGTGCCAAGATTCAGTGATAACAAAAATGTCCAAATCACCTGAAAAAAAGTTATAAACAATATCTTATTTAGACGCAAAGAATCTTATGTAGAGTAATCCAAATTTAATAGTTAAGTGGTGGGCTTTTTGGGGAACGAAACAACTTTCCGACGGCCTGAACCTGAAAAAATAATATTACAAATCTTCGAGTCAAGAAGCTTAGTATCAACAAATCGCAGAGGAGCGAGCACATCATACAAATATATATATATATATATATATATACACACACAAACATACACAATGTATATATGAATAAATGTAAATGTGTGTGTTTGTCGATAAGCAGGTAGAGGTAGATTAGTTAGACCGACCTTTTTTGACAGATGTTTGGATGCAAGAATGTCTGTCTGTGTGTCTGTCTATATACGTCTACACATGAAATATATATATTATATATATAGGATTATGCCATCATTGATGAAACCTGCTGTGATTTTCACCAATAATGGCATATATATATATATATATACATATATATATATACACATATGTGTATATATGGCTGGTGTATCTGTGTGCGTGTATTCGTGTGATTGATTGATCACTTACTTATTTCTAATTGCCATTGTTTTCTTGCTTCCATAATAATTATTATTATTGATATTGTCACTCGTACAACCATATCGTCATCAGCATTATCATAAGCCGATGAAAAAGCTTATAGATTGTAATCATTATAGAACGTAGTAGTCACCATTATCTTATCACGATCATAATGATCGTGTGGCATGTCATCATCATTATATCACCCCACCAAAATAATCATGACATCATCATTATTGTTATAGGTTCAGCTTTGAAACCCATGTTTATTACAATTACACACACACACACATACAACACACACACACTCATATATATATATATAGATATATATATATATATATAGAGAGAGAGAGAGAGAGAGAGATTATCATCGGCCAATAATAATCACACATCACGTTATCACACGTCACGTAATCATCGTCATCGCCACAATAATAATAATGAGATTACGATGACGATTTATCATCATCACTGTCATCTCAAATCATAATGACTGTCTGTCATTCATTGCACGTCATAACTACTGTCACCAAACATCATTATTATCACATCACTTCATCATTAACACATCACTCACTACACACACACACACATTGTCATAAACGCAAGAACAAACAAACACAACACACACACACTCGCAAACACAAAAAACACGTTTTAAGAATTCAAAACACCAACACACACATACATACACACACACAAACACATGTTTTAAGAATGAAAAACACCAACACACACACCGCTTTGAATGTTTCAAAAAACACACACATAAAAAATCTTATTTTAATATTGTTAAAACCAATCTGCTAAATGAATAATAATAATAATAATAATAACAATAACAACAATGATAATAACAATGATAATAAGAAGAATGATGATTTATAACAACAGCCACAATAGTTTGCAAGAATGGTATGAAAACAAATAAAGTGATTGTAAAATAGAAAAAGAAAATTGTAACATGAATTCTCATAATTTCTGATCATGCACAGAAGAACTTTGATTTGTTATCAATCAAATCATCGTCATGTATAAATAAGGTAAACATCATCATATTCTTCTTTACAATTTTTATCATTTATAACTAACATTTCCACATTATTTCAATCACCATCTTTCCCGTCATCATCATTATCATCATCATCATCATTACCATCATCAGCATCATCATAATCATTTATGCAATCATCTATCCAATAAATCGTTTATTCACAATTGCATTTAACTAGAGTTCATTCCTGTGATCGTCATCACTACTTTTGCCATCATCATCATCCTGATCATCATTTTCATCATCATCTTCGTCATTCAGGTGGATATTTTTTAAGTTGTCAGCATCAGAAGCAGCCTTGTTACCTTCTGCTTCAGATGTGTACGTTAACTTTCTTTTCAAGTCCTCAAATTCTGTTATATTCTTAGCTGTACACACGCCTGAGTGAATGAATGGATGGATGAATGAATGGATGGATGGATGAGCGAATGTAAGAATAAATGAATGAAGGATTGGATTAATGAGTGATCTAATGAGTAACTGAATGAATGAAAAAATAAATGAATGCACGCATTTATAAACCTATGAATAAATTCAGATACACATGCACAAATCTAATCAATTACAATTCTCTCCACAACATTTCCCAGAAGCATCACAAGCACACAGTAAAAGTAAACACACACGTGAAACAACGCTTCACACATAGGTTGCATATGATAGGCGGGAGTCACCATGCAATCGAATCCAGTCACTGCAACAGCAGTGCCAGGCACTAAACCGTTACACTATCTCACTAAACATTTTGCAATATTATTACCAATTTATGACTACACATAAATGAATGAATGGATATAAAAATATGTGATTAATTAAATGAACTAACAAATTAACTAGTTTGTGATAGAGAGATAGATAGATTGATAGATAGATAGATAGATAGATAAATAGATAGATAGATAGATAGATAGATAGATAGATAGATAGATAGATAGATAGATAGATAGATAGATAGATAGATAGATAGATAGATACAAGAATAACATTGTTATTATTATTATTATTACAACTAGAAGTACAACATCTCAATCAACGAATCAGAACTGACTCGCAAGATCGATGCAAATGATTTCATGATAGTCTTCATTGGTTAGAGATTGTAGGGCTGGGATGATATCCTCTTCGTGGTCCTCAACTAGATTGTGGCACTAGGATAGGTAGGAAAAAACCAACCGATATCCATAAATTATGTTTAAACAGTTGGATTGGTGGCATATAAACATATTGAGGAATAGTAACCAACACTATTTTTTGCATTAATATAAATTATTATCATTTAATTAATAGCTTCATCATTTAAGTAATGTCATTGACTTGAAAATTTTTAAATATTCAATTCTAAATTGAGAAACTGACAGTGTGTTCGAATCTGCCCATATCACCAAAACTTTGAAGATTGACTCCAGTTGCAACTTGCCCACTGCTTGAGACCTTCCTCAAGTAGACTGAACCCCCCTCAGCAGTGGTAGACAGGGCATAATTTTGAAGGTTGGTACAAATTCCCTCCAACTTTTCATAGAGATGAACTTCAGACCTTGCCAGTGGAATCTAAGATGTGAAGAAAGTATATAAATTGTTATTTCTTTTAATGTTTAGAATTGAGTGCTCTTTGTTCACGTTCAGTTGTTTACTATACTTATGTATATATTGGTAAATTTCTCAGGATGTATAAATAATAAAAATGAATAAAAACAAAACAGACAAGATAAGAGACAGACAAACTACATTATAATTACTTATAAATATAAAACTAATATTTTATAATTTCTAATTAATATATTTTGTAATCAGTGTTTCCTAACATCATTGAGTTTCTGGTTTCCTTGCGGATCGATCCGGAAGCTTCCCACTTGTATCCGCAGTTTGGGATCTACTGAATTGATCTCGTGTAACATCTCATCAACCAGAGCTAAGCAAGCTGGTAATTCAAATAAAATAAATTCATTTTGAAAATTGACCAGTATTTAGCAACAAACCACCACAAGCTATAGTGATTATAAAACCATTTGAAGATTAATTTAATTTTAATAAAAAATAATGCATTAAACAAGTAGAGTAACAGTTAAAAATTAAAAAGTAAATTGAAAAATTGCATACCACCACACTTCAATTCTTTCGTTTTATACCTCGCCCCAGCTGCAAAATTGGAGAGCGTCAATAAAAAACAAGACCACCGTAAAATCTTATTTATCATTTTAAAACTTTATTTTGTATTCTTTATTACTATTTATAAAATATTTACAAAAATACTAGACCCGAGGTAATTAGTGGAAAGTAAAGTAAGCGATTGGCACGGCCGGCCATTCAAAAGTAAACACGTATTATTAAATGCAAAATCGTTCGGCGCTAACTTTTTAAAAGCTTCAAAAACTTAACTAACATTCTGTTCGAAGCAACCGCTGAAAAGTTGGCGTAAAAACTGCAGTTTCTACTCGTGCTAAGTGGTTGCTTTGAGATAATAATAATAATAAAAATAACAGATACATCGTATCTATTATTTTCTACGTTACAATTTTTTGGTCAAGTTGATGCTGGATATGGAGTGAGGTTAAATTCTAATGAAAGCATCTAATGAAATGAAAGATTCTAATGAAATATCTCCAGTTTTTCGTACTAAAACGCTTTGTGCTGATCTGAATTGTTACCCAGACAGAAAGATTAATTAAAATTATTAATGAGTCTGTACATAAGCCTTCCTTTCAAAAGAAAAATGGATGCCGTGCAAAAGAAAATTACAAAAAAATGCTTGAACTAGAAGAAGCAATCCCTAAAGCCACACATCTCAATTTCACATTATTCGCATTTTTCAGATCATTGAAAAATCTGCTTATAGTAAAAGTAATGATTTTGGGGAGAAAAAAAAACACAAAATTCAATTTGCTTATAAACTTGCCAGTGATATGATTAATTAATTAATCAATTAACGAATTATTTTAAAAAATCGTAGGAATCAAGAGCAAAAATACAATCACAACGGTGTAACATTAAAGGAACGTTCACTGAAAATCAAAAATTCAATTCAATTATTGATAACATGTTTAAAGATTGAAACAATTGCTTGATGATTAGATACTCAATTGATACCTTTAACATTAAAACTCATGACTAAAGACATTAAGACCAACCATCAAAAAATATTTAATTATTATTCATCGTCATTATTTTCACCATTTTATTACCCCCACCAAACCCGTTATCGCCATCACCATCATCGTCATCATTAGCGTTATAGTTATAGTTACTATTATTATAAAATTTATTAAATAGTTGATTAGTCGAAAGAGAATTTTTTTTAATTTAAACATTTTACCAATTCTTACAATCATTAGTAATTGAACATTTTAAATTTGGGACCACAATTTCACATTTGTTGCGTTGAATTTCCATTCCAGGTTGCCTGCTCATCGTCCTCCTCATCAGCAGCCGTCAGCCTGTGTATGTTGCCTTCCTTTCGCTTCTTCAGCCCGTCGGTGCTGGCGCAGAATGCAATCATTAATTAATTAACTCAAAATTTACATTACCAATTATTAAATAATTGATACTAATTAATTAATCAAACAATAGAAACACACACAGACATAGAAACAGACAGACAGACAGACACACGCATCAAAAACTATCAAATATAAAGGAAGAAGTGCGGCTAAAAATAACTTTGTGGTCTTTGGACGGGCGCCTCCATAAGCAACTGGCGACGACGATGATGAGGAGAGAGGTTCTGAATGGACAGTTGTTGGTGGGTGGTGTGCCGTATGTGTGGAGCTACCGCCACCGCCACCATCAACTACAACTGGAGTAGTTGTCGTGGTTGTTGACGAGGATGAGAATGGGAGTAAGAAGGAAAGTAGGTACTGCAAGAATGAAACTATCTGGATCCAGACGTGGTAGATGAAGTTGCCACTGCCACTGCCCGCCACTGCTGTTGTTCTTTGTGAAGAAGAGGAAGAGACGAAAGAGCTTGCAGACGTCTTTAGATTAAATTATATAAATATAAATTGATGCTTAAAAAAATAAAAAAGGTTAACCCAATTCATAGAAAGAGTAAAAAACTAAAATTTAAAATTGCTTGCGAAAATATGGTAAACAATCAACATACAGTTGGAAGGACGACGAGAACAGCAGACGGAGCAAGATTGTGGTGGAGAAAAGTTTGATCGTAGTCCTCTGCTTGGAACAACTTCCTGGGATGAATGGTCGAAAGGGAAACATTCTTCACTGATCCTGGCATGGACTACAGTCATTCGTTTGTTTGTATATTTTTTGTTTGTTTGTATGTTTGTTTGTGTTAGTTTGATTGTTTCTTTATTTGTTTGTATGAATGTGTGTTTGTATGATTGTTTCACAATTCTATTAGCTGAGTGCTATGATATGCTATCAAAAAATGTAGCTATTACATGCTATTTGACATTTGGATAACCATTTTCATTCCAAGAAATTTGGCAAAATAAACGAATCAAATTGAGAATGAATAAATCCAGAAAGAATAAAACAAGATAATTATAATATTGTGAGAATATCAATTGTAGACCTGCAAAGCAAATGAGTGAGCAACCGAAAGTAATTCTGATGAGTTGAATTGTTGAACCTTGCTGGAACCATCGGGAAATCGAAATTGAATCCGAGCTACAGTCCTTTATGAGAAAAAATTCGAAATTAAAATATTATTTCATAACAAATTATTATTTCATAAAATTATAAATAACATTATCGTATGCATGAAATAACAAATGTAACATAATGTAATAAGAAAATTAATGTAATTCAAAAAAAAATTTTCAAATGTTAAAAACACTAACAGTTTTGCAACTCTCTCTCTTTCCAACTTTTCCTTTTCAGCAGCCGTTTTTTCATTCTCCTTTTGAATTTGTTGGTTCGTCTCTTCCTCCTTCTCATTGTAGTACTTCCTTGCTCTATCCTCTCTGACCATTTTTAATTAAAACATCAGTTGTTCGGAAGGGATTCAAAATTTGGGAATTAATAATCATTCGATGAATGTATGTCAGTAGAAACGAACTTGAAATTGCTTTGATTTGTAAGATTAAGATAATGTAAAATTTATAAGCCTCTGAAGTAATTGTAATTGAATCTTTCACAAATGTAAATTTTAGACAGAAAACTTCATTTTAAAAAAAGCATCAACCACGTCAAAGGCACCGTCATATCAGTGACATCCACAAAGACATGACATGCCTACCTGTCCAACTGAAGTTGTCGTCTGATTTGTTCCCTAGCCAGTCTGTCTGCTTCCTTCCTCCCCTTCAACTCCTTCTCAAGCTCTTTTCTTTCCATTTCACTCTTAAGATCCTTCAGTTTGTTTAAATCCTGTCCTGAATCATACAAAACGAACGGCTAATTAGTTTGGTTCTCAAATTTAATAATCATCATTTACATCAATAATTGCAAACAAAAACCATTATTATTGATATCAGTAATAAAATACCGTCATCACAATGTTATTAGTTTCGAATTGTTAACCAACGAAATGTATGAACAAATAAAGAATAGTTTAAATGACCAAGTTTTCTTCTCTCCAGCTCCTTCTGTCTCTCCTTCTCTGCTTCCAACTTGGCTTTGGCTGCCTGCTTCTCAGCTATCAAGAGTTTGGTTCTATCAGAAATATTGAATATACTTTAATGTTTAAATTTTCACGATTCAGTTATTTGATTGTATAACAATGCAGCAAGATGCAATTTACCGCCGAGCGCAGTTCACTTAATTTTCGGCGCATCTCACCAATTTGTTGACTTTACATATCTATCCATTAACTGTTTTACCAGGTTTTAAAAATATGATGAATTAATGCGGTTGCAGACCACCAAACAGTCACCAACCAGTCTTGTACAATTTTGGTTTTAGAAATTGTTTTGGGCTCCCATCTTGAGCCAGCCACTGAGTTGAACGTTTTCTGTCGTCAATTAAGATCTATATTGCACCGACTAGGTTTATCTGACGCCTCAAGAAGATGAAGTTTCTAACATTTATTCTACTCATGCAGCATCTATTTATCGAGTTCTTTGACCTTGAGTTCTTCAGCAACAGCTCGAATAGTTTCGGCTGAGTCTGCTTCAATAATGGCCTCCGTCCAGTTCATCATCATCGATCTCGCATGGTCGTCCGTTATCTCTCTCCATCTTCAAGGCTCATATCACCAGCAGGGCATTTTTGAACCAAGTTAGAATAGTACACTGAAAAGAACCGCCTCTCTGCATGTTTCCGCAATATTATGAATTGCATCGGCCGCATTATGCCAGATTTTTAACTCATGAAGCGAAATAATTTGTAATTCACAGTTTGACAACATTTTGAAGTATCACTCAAAAATAAACACAATGAAATGTTTTACAAAACATTTAATATAAACTAGATAGAGAAATAAACAACCTTTACAGTGATATATAATTATCAATATATCCAATAAAATTAATTTAAAAACGTTTGTATCAAAAAGTTAAAAAGGCTAAAACACTATTTTTGCATTAAATTAATATTAATCCATAATAAAATTAGAATTTTTGATAACCAGGCATACTTTTCAGTTTTCTCTTCTAATGTCAGATGCTCATCTTTTTTACCCTCCAAACTTGAAGATTCATTTCCTCCAACTGCTTCGTCAACCAAAATTGTTCCTACCGGTGAACTTGTTGATTCTACAGCTTTAGTAGAAGTGGTAGTAGAAGAACTAGTAACAGTTGTAGTAGCTGTAACAGCAGCAGTAGCAGTATTACTATTAGTAGTTGTTGCATCAGTGGAGGATGGTTGGTTGGATGTATTTGTTGCAGTTGACATACTGGGTAGTACAGTGCTAGTACTTGTGGTGCTGGAAGTTGTTGGTGCCGTCATTGGATGGAGAGAGACATCATGAAGCTAGTGTGGAGTGAAATTTTAAAATTGAAAGAATACAATCTGTGAAGTCAATGAAGAAAGTTTTATAGAAAATAAAATATAAGTAAATATGAGCAATCACAAAATACAAACATCTATCAGCCTACAAATGTAATTGTAATTAACAAAGGAGACTGACATCAAATGCTCTCCTGGCACTTTGGGCCAAATTGGTGGCATTCAGAGGTCCAACTTTCACCTCAAGGGGCTGACCATGCCGACCAATAAAGTACAGGGTCGGGTGGATGAATACTGGGTCTGCAAAGTTCAAAGGTAAATAGTCCTTACTTATTGTTTATGTCATACACTCGAATAAAAACACAGAAACAGTCTTTACTAATTATACATGACATGCTAAAATAAAAACACACAAATGCAAAAAAAACACAGACAAACACACACACACACATACATACATTTTTTAATCAAATATAAATTATAAATTAGTCAAGTGACATGAATTATTTTACAAAATATAATGTAATAAATCTATTAAAAACATTAGCAGTTTAATGGAAAACTAACATATCTGAGTAAACTGCTTGGCTAACTCACTATCCGACTTGAGCTTAAGTGCTACATATTGATTATTATCAGCAAATAGTTTCTGAACTTCTGGATCATTCCACACACTCCCAGCTGATTCATCTTCGGCTGCTGCTGCAATTTCAATTTTTAAAAAAGTTCTTTTACCACAGTCTTTAAATAAAATAGTGTTAGAAAAGATAATGATCAATGAATATATATTTCTAAAAAAAATATCAGGTACGCCAATGATAGAAAAAACTAGTTTTTTTTATAAATCTATATTTAGACCAGTATATAATTATATCTCTATCTATCTCTATGTGAAATATTTATTTCTTCATATGAAATAGTTATTTATTTAAGTATTAGATCAGCATTAACATTAAATTAGTTAACCATTATTAAAAATTAAAAGGCCATATTAATATTTTTATTTATACTATTATTTGAAAATATTTCACTTAAAAATTAAATTAAAATAAACTTACTTAAGTCTTAAATTTTAATTTGACAACTTGAAAGTTTAATAAACTTTGTAATTTAAACCTTAAGGAGGCTTAGGCTGATCTTAGGAAGCTTCTTATTTGTCTCTAATAAATAAATTAATTAACTCTCTATTTGATTTAAATTTGTAATTTTGTATTAAAATTAAATATAAATATAAAAAAATCTATTCTATTGTTAATTATTCTGATGCAATGCTGATACATAAGGCCTCTCGGTAATTTAATATCTTACTAACAAGAACTTACTAAGTTACTATTACTACTTTGTACTTTTAACTTAATTAAATTAAAAAAAATTAATTTAAATTTATTTAACAACTAAAAAAATTACAACCCACCTTCAACCAAAACAATGAAGAGAGAATTCTGCGATTTACACAAACTTATGGCTTCAGTTATGTTACCTGTATACCACTGCATATTTCTTTTTCTTTACTTACAAAATTAAAAATAAATATTTAAACTATTATAGAACCAAATGATGACTAATAAAGTTAGGGTAAATATTGTAAACATGTAATGATTTAAATCTCCTTTTAAACACTATACACGACAACGTTTAAAATGATTTTGTAGCTGTGAACTTTTTCAATTAAGGCATCATTTAAAACTGTCGACAATTTTATACAAAAAATATAGCTGGTTTATTTGATAAAATGAAATAGTTTGATTGAAAATATGTTAAACTATCTGTAAAAAAGTATCTAACAGTGTTTCATTTTTTTCTCTTTAATGTATTTTAATTTAATGGATTATGATGTGTTGTACGTGTGACGACTACAACATTTTTGCCTGTATGTGAGAATTAATGACCAACAGACGGCACCAAGTTCTTTAAGTCTTTACATCATATTGACCTAGGCCCTACATTCTTATCATTATCACCACATAAAATGCCACCTTTCATTGTTATCATCACAGTCACGATCAGGATATTCTTCACCAAATTACCGTCACTAATTGTTTAAATTCATCCAAAATAACATTTATAAATGGTATCTTTCATAATTATCATTATCAGACTTATCATCATCTTCATAGTAGCAATGTGATAATGTGAATCAACAAACTTCCTCAATCCCCGTCTTCTTTATCATATCATCACCAATGAATAAATGAGAGAAAAAAAACGAACGAATGAATAAGAAATAGCAACACGTTTCAACTCATGGGACAGACAGACCATTGTGTGCAGAGCATACAGTCTAAACGACGTAGAATAGATGTTACGCGCGTTTGGGTGCGTGAATTTGCAAACATGTGTGTATGAAATGAACATATGTTTGTTTGTTTGTTGCGTGAATTCATGTATACACAGACACACACACTACACACACACACACACACACGCACGCACACACTCACGCACGCACACACACACACACACACTCACGCACGCACGCACGCACACACACACATAACAAATGTTTATATGTTGAATGCGCATGCCACCCTAACAAATTATTTTTTTGTCAACTAACATTCTTCGATGAAAGTCAATTTTTTCGCAAGTAACATGCGCAAACATCAGAGAATATTAGAGCACACACGCACATACATAGACGCGTACACGCACACACACACGCGCGCGCGCACACGCAGCAGACACATACACTAATATTGATTCGTGTGCTATCAAACAAAACACATATAATAGAGAACGATACTTAATTTAGATAGGCGACATATACACAAACACAGACACACAAACACACACACACACTTGCACATATAAAGTATATAAAATTTATTTAAAATATATATTAACTGACGCATTAACAAATAAACACAAATTGAAAGACATCAAATATTACAAATAAACAACAACAATTTATTACTCATACTAAAAATGTAACATATACAAACAACTATTACTACTACTACTACTACAACTTCTACTACTACAACTTCTACTACTACAACTTTTGCTACTACAACTACCACTTCTACTACAACTACCACTTCTACTACTACTGCTACTGATGTTGCTGCTGCTACTACTCCTACAAAAACAACAACAACAACTACTACTACTACTACCACAACTACTACTTTATAATTACTGAAACAACAAAACAAAAGCAACAACAGACTCAAATGAAGCAGTAATAAACTACGTGCCTCTGCACTGCATTAAAATGAAATAAAATGCAATGAACAAATTTCTTGTATGAAACAAATTTTTTAAATATATTTGGGCACAACATAACAACAAAAACGACGACGACGACAATAACAGCAACAACAACACAACAACAATAACAACACAACAACAACAATGAACAATAGCGACAACAACATAGACGTAATTAATTTCATTCGCAATGTATCGAAAGAAAAAAAAATGTAACAACATTGTGCTGAAACTACTAACGCGAGCATCTGCAGCAGTAACAAATTTAATATTGAAAAAAAATTATATATATTATTAACGACACACAAAGCAATAAATAAAATAATGGTAACAACTACAACAGCAACAACTACAATAATAATGAGGAGGAGGAGGAGAAGAAGAAGAAGAACAACAACAACAACAAGAAAAAGAACAAGAAGAAAAAAAGAAAAAGAAGAACAAGAAAAAGAAAGGTAACAATAACAATAAATAGGATAAAAAAAATAATAAAAACAGCAATAAGATGGTGTATGTTAGCAGCACTACTCACTCTACTATGCATGATCAAATTATAAAGAAATTAATTATTTACAACTTTTTCTCCTTCCAAGCAAGCAATCAACCAACCACGAAATTGAACGCACCTGTTGTCGTCTACCTGCCCCGCCAACCAATCAGCGATCAGATCACCTGTATCGCGTCTTCCTATTGGATAGGTTTAAAAAAAATTCGCTAGAGTTTATGTAAGTTAGCTTTGAAAGTGTTGAGTGAAAGAAGTATAAAGTGGAAGGCTATTAAGGAGTTTCTTGTGACATTTTCAATTGAGAATAAAATGTCGAAGTTAAAAAGTGAATATTTCTGGATTGGAAGATGGATGGGTGGAATGGACAATCTTCATTCATGGTAAGAAATCTAAATGGGATTTTATTGGCTTGTTTTAAATTTAAAAAAGTTTGGCAAACAATTTGTATAAAAGTGGTTTATAACTTTTCATTTGTGTTAATTGATAAAAAAAAGCTCAACTTGAACAAATTTTTTATCTAACCTTTAAACAAATCTAGCGCAAGACACAAATATCATCATCAGCAGCAGCACTAACGTCATCATTATCATCATCATCGTCATTAGTATCATAATCATCATTACCAAGCTCTCATTCTCATCGTAATGTAATTATTATCATCATCATCATTAATCATTATAATTTTTTATATTGACTACCGCTATTATAAGATGATGATGGTCATTACCATCATCATCCTCGTTGTTATCATCATCATCATTTTTGCCACCTCATTTCATTGTTATTTAAACTGTATTTTAAGTTTTGTTCATCACTATAAACCTCACCCTCTTCTTAATCGTCATCATGATCGTTGAGGTCGTTATCATGATCGTTCTCGTCATCATGATCGTTGAGGTCGTCATCATCATCACACCCTCGTTATCATAATTATCTTCTTTTCATCATCATGAACAACAACGTCGTCATGCCGTCATAAACTTACTCATCATCATTTCATCATCAGTCTTACCACACCAACAGCATCCTCATCTCATCCATCATCATCTTCCTCACCATCATCGTCTTTATCATCATTTTCGTCATCATCATCGTCTTCATCATCATCGTCTTTATCATCATCTTATTAATCATCATCGTCATCACCATCTTTTTCATCATCATCTTATTCATCATCATCATCATCATCATCTTTTTCATCACCATCTTCTTCACCATCATTTTCTTCATCATCATCATCGTCTTTATCATCATCTTCTTCACCATCATCTTCTTCATCATCATCGTCTTAATCATCATCTTCGTATTGACATATGAACACTAACGAACAACGCAAACAACAACCACATCACCACAAACACCACAAAATCACAACAAAATCCCCACAAAAATATCAACCAAAATATCAACAACATCACTACAAATATCCCCACAAGAACACCAAAAACATCACCACAAAAACACCAACAACATTACCACAAAATCACCACAAACGAAAAAACGAACAACAACATTTTCATTCCTCATCATATGGCTAGCCATCGACGCGTGCCTACATATAAATTCTACTCACTCACTCATCTACTTAACGCTGCATAAGGCGTTCGTTATTTGGCGGCCTTCCAAGGAGGGCATAAATTTTATATGCCATTCGGTCTCTGCTTCAAATCTTTCATCCAAGCTGTTATTATTTACATATTCATCACACGTATTCATCATCGTACGTTTGTATGCGGGAACACGTCACTTCACATCCACACGCACAAGCGCACACTCAGACACACACACACACACACACACAAGCATACACATACAGACGAGCAGACATGATCATTTCAAACAACCCATAAAACTTAATAATCAAAGCACTGCAATCACAATTTGGCTTGCCATAAAATTTTACGACCCTACTTGCTGATGATATCGATCTGAACTCGACAGTTTTTGGCACTGCAAGAATCAATTGATCGAACATTAAGGCCGCCACAACTGCAACCGTAATCATCGTCATCATCACCGTCCACCGTCATGATGATGATGATGACGATGATGATGCGGCGACATGTGGTGGTGGTGGTGATGATGATGATGATAACTCAAGGATTCTGCAATGTCATTAATGGTCTGAGTGATATTAACGGCATTAACTCATTTCACCATCGTCATCATCATTTTGTTATCATAAAGTTGTTATCATCATCATTATCATATTGCCGCTCTAACGTAATCATTTCCACACTTATGGTCAGTGGTATCAATCAGTAGACTTATTATAACTACTTCTGCTGCTACTACCACTACTACACTACTGCTACTACAGTTGCTACTACAGTACTTCTAATAATGTTGCTAGTGTTGTTATAATTATTATTACTACTGCTGCTGCTACTACTACTACTTCTACTACAATTGCTATACTTACTACAACCACTACAGCTTCTAAAACGCTACAGTTATTATTGGAATTATTATAACCACTACTCTTGCTACCGCTGCTTCTACTACTTCTACTACAACTACAGTTGCTATAATTACTGCAACTACAGCCACAACTACAAAACTGCAGTTACTACCTGTACTTCTTTTACTATTACAACTGCTAATACTTCTAACATTATCACTTTTATCACTTGCCACAGATGACATTATCAATGTTTACTTCGTCATATGATGATGGGGACAATGATGATGATCTGTCTTCAACATTATCATTACTAGACTTATTTAACATCACAAAAGTATTCATCTAATCATCATCATCATCATCTTCCTCATCATCGTCATTTTTCTTTGGCAATAAAATATTGAATTGTCAACATAATTTGTGGCAACATCTGCATATCTATTCATCGTCATCAACCACATCTTCATCATCATCTTTTCCTTCGTCACCAA